CCTCAGAGTATCGCCAATCCATCTGCATTTCTTCCTGCATATTTGTTTCACAATCGGTTCCTGGTTGGTTCGCTCATTGCCAGAGATCCCTGTTGCTGATCTTTTCTGATCAGCCATCTGTTCTTGAGTATTGAGCGAAGACAGTTAACTGTTGATGAAGGTCTGAAGTTTGTTTGAGATGCTCTTTATGCCATGGTGCCAAGTCCCTGATCCGTATAGTGGCACTGACCGACTTCACACTGGAGTTGAAAATTTGGATCTTATTTTTTGTTCTTAATGCTATTGACCTCCACACAGACTTGAGAGTAATGAAAGCATGTCTTGCTTTTCCAATTCTGGCTTTGATATCCTCGTCAGTTCCGCCTGTAGTTGAAACGATGCTTCCCAAGTAGGTGGGTAGGTGAAGGAGGTTGTTTCTTTCAGGTTCCTCCCATTTATGCTGGCTGATTATTGTCTGTTGTTGTTGTTGCTGTTGGTGTTGGCCAGTAATCTTCATCACCTACCTCTGTTTTATCTATGTTCACCTGAAGGCCTATCTTCTCTGGATGCTTCTTCTGCTAGCTTGTTGCTTTTCACTTGCATATCTTCCAGTTTTTGGGAAATCAGACATATATCATCGACGAAGTTCAGATCCTCCAAATTTTTTGTGTGCGTCATTTGATGCCCGTTTCCTCATTGCTTGTTGTCTGTCGCACTATCCAGCCTACTGCAATCAGGAAGACCATTGGCGATAGTAGGCAGCCTTGCCTCAATCCCGTCCTCACTTTGAAGGCTTCCGTAAGTTTCCCGTCGCGGATTACTTGGCATGCCGCATTGTCGTATAACTGTTGGATGAGATGTATAATTGTCGATGGCACTCCGTAGTAGCGAAGTAGTTGCCAAATCACCTCTCGATCGACGCTGTTGAAGGCCTTTTCAAAGTCGATGGAGTTGAGTGACATAGAGAGGTGACCGAATGCCATTCCAAGCTTTGTTCAACGATGATCCGTAGTGTGGCGATTTGATCAATACATGACTTGTTTCTCCTGAGTCCAGCTCGTTCCGGTCGAAGTTTTTCATCCAGGTTGGCTTGTTTGATTCTCTCCAGGATGATGCGGCTTAGTATTTTGCTTGGGATGGACAGGAGCATAATTCCGCGCCAGTACAAAAACAAATACTTGAAAATAAATTCAATATGATGTAAACCACTTAGGACTAAATAACACTATTTTAACATGTCTGAGCTAAACCCATAAGATAGTTTGAACACTCAACCTGCTGCACCATACTGGTCGAGGTTTCCCATCAACCACTCTGTAACCAATCAAACGAAATCCCTGAAATAAATCAAAACTTGGAAATTCAATCAGTCATTGACAGTATCAGCAGTCAGACTATTCAAAAAGCTTAGTATTTCCTCTCATAATATTAAGAACTATTCAAAACTATTCAGTGAAATGTCTCTTTTAAAGGAATTTATTTTTGAGATTTAGAGAATGTAGCGCTTCAATAGTAGCACATCTCCACTTCATTCTGTCCTCTACAGTTCTCTTAAGCTGCAACGGCTACACGACTCAGCATGAGTCTTCATCTCCTCATCACACGATCTCCGCCATATCACTCGTGGACCCACACCTAGCTTCTCGTTGTTCTCCCCTGCGATTTGCATCCATCCGATGACTAGGCGCTTAATGTCATTCATGAAGTCTTGTCAGTGTGTGTGTTTTAAGTTCATCTCCAATTTTTATCGGCATATTTACTGGACAATAGACTGTTGATTTTAGTGTGGTTGTGTTCTCTAGGCAGCTGGATAGTTAATTTGCGAAGCTTTCATCGCCCTACTAGGCAACATCTTCAGCGTGTACTTCAATTTGAATTGAAGTGAGCTTTTAGATTTCTCCACGAGTTTATTAATCATCTCTCCCGGTGGGTGACCTTGGGCGTGATTGGTTGTTTTTGTGTGTTTTCACATCCTCTAAGCTACTTCCTTGTATTGGAACTGATTGTTTCTTTGACTTGAACTTTGACCCTTTGTGTGCGTGAGGTTTCTTTCTTATCGGTTGGTTAATTTTGTCTATCTCGATGTGTCTATTGATTGGTGATTCACTGGAATACCAGGCAAGCTTCTAAAAATTCTTTAGCATTCTTGGTCTTGTTTCCTCTGTCTAATGCTTGAACTCTGGTTGTCCCAGTCGAATTGATGTCCATGGTTGTCTCTATGTAGAGATATGAACCGAGAAGTATGAAGTCAAAAAAACAGTCAGTTCCAGTAACACAAGTAGCCTAGAAGTTGTGAAAACACACAAAAACAACCAATCACGTTCAAGGTGGTCACCAAGAGAGATGACCAACAAACTCATGGAGAAATGTAAAAGCTCACTTCTATTCAAATTGCAGTATGCGCTGAAAGAAGATGTCGCCTAGTACGGAGGGCGATGAAAGCTTCGCAAATTAACTATCCAGCTGTTGAGAGAACGCCACCACATGAAAATCATCCACACCTGAGCTACAAATCTTCTCTATCATACCTAAATAGACTCTTGGTTGATTCGTTGCCGGCTATCTGATCGTCAGGCTGAAGATAGCAAAGACAGCTGTTATAGAATCTCTGCAGCCTGTTAGAAATGCTGTTTGCACTACCTACATCATGTCCCTAAACAGTATACTTAAACATCGACTTGACATTATTGTTTCAGTCGGAATCTTGTTCCCTATGCTGAGTGCAGTACATTTGTCTTGATTTCCCATCCCGCCTGGCTTTGATATCTTCACATGTGCCGCCTGAAGCTTAAACGATGCCGCCTGCTTCAAATTCCTTCCGTTGATGGTGATTTCAGTGCTTGTTGTTGATCAGTTTAAGCCAGCTGACAATCACTACTACTCATCTCACTCAACCAGTAGTATATTTATACATATACAGATATAATTTGACAGTCTTTGATAATATTGATTTATTGATCTTTAGACTTTAGACTTTTCCTCCAGATATGATCACCTCTACATGGTTGACATGATATCAAAACAATAGTCAACTATGCGTTACATCATTTTCCGTAGAATTTAATCATTTTCTAAATCTGTCTGTCTATCTGTCTACGTTTTGTTTAAATTCACTAACAAAATTTTCCAACTGTCATTGAATTTTTTTCTGCGCGCGCTTTTCATCTTCTGGACAGCCTTGATTATACTGATTAAAAAAATATCCATTAAAATTTTTTTTTAAACGAATGGATACTGAACAAAGAATACTCTTTTCGATGACGCCTTCATCATCAGGCTCTACAGTTACATATACATTATAGTGAATGAATGAATGAATGAATTAGTGTTATGAACAACATCAATGTTGATGTTTAAATAACATCGAATCAATAATATTGATAGATTACAGCTGAATAGCATCAACATAACAATACACACTGAATATCAAAAAATTAGGAAAGATAATATCACAAATTCATGAATTTATAGTCTCCACTGAAGGCCAGGGCTGGGCAGTAGTAGAGGCTGGTTGGACTTGCTTCTGCTGCACATGGAGCACTGGTCGTTTCAGGCAAATCGTGTTGGCCTCTCTTGTTTAGAGTATGCGGAACATCGATGTTTTCGACGAGTTGTTTGGTACCCGATAGATAATAGAGAAGGGTTCTTCAATTCTGTCTGGCTTTGTGGCCGATTTGGACCAGGTGGTCTAATATTGAACTTTTGATGGTTTCTACTACACCTATACTTAGCCATAGTGAGCGATGTTCTTGAGTGAGCACGAAAAATCAAGTTCCTACAGAAACGGCCAATAGAACTCCTTCTACCAGAAGCTCAGTTGAATTAGTGAATACAATTGGAAATGGCTAGTCTATTCTAGGTACTTTATCTTTCAATCGAGGAATCACAACCATCGGTCGTGTAGAGAATAAGACGTCTAGTTCTCCAGTATTATTTGGTTTAGATAAAGCAATAAGCAAACATAATTTGTCTGAATAGTGTATTGTGTATTTGCGCAACACATTTCGAACAATCTGATCCATCACACACGGATTGTCATAGGAATATATATGAAATTAATAAAGAGTTAAGGGGTGACAAAATAGACTCCTTAGGTCAAGTGCGTCGGTGGCATAGCGGTTAGGACGCTCGCCGACCATGCACATGGTCCGGGGTTCGATCCCCGGCCACAGACGCACTCCTTTGCCTCGCTAAGCCAGTAGTGAGACTGGTGAAGAGGAAAGGTTTGGCATGAGGCTAGCAACCCCATCCTGTAAAAATAATCACCACTGCTACAGAAACTTCAAGCATCTAGCTTGAAGCCCTATGTTCCACTGGGAACGTGCAGGAAAATTAAAAAAAAGTGAAGTTAAAAGGGGGACATATTCAAGGTCAAAATAACAATGAAGACCACTAAACCAAATAGCAGAGGTAATAGTACATCTACCCTCACTGGTATCAAAACAAAACAAAGTTTACCAAGGAAGGTTATTTCATGTGATGAGGAATTGTTGCTTTGAAAGCATTAAGCTGGTTTAGACTTTCTAATTGCCAGCTATGACTTCCACAAACTTTAGGATACGCCCTACCCCAAAGACGTTTTATAGATAGGTTTAAATGACGGGTGTTAACGTCAATTTTATGTCCTCACTCTATAATATGTTTCGCAATAGAAGAGCTAGGTCATTGTCTGTTCTCACCGTTAATAGGTTCTGAAGATTCCATTTGTTTCTGGAGCCATTTAAGAATATGCTCTGAAGCTAGCCCTTACTTGCAGAGATCGTCGAGTCCCATGTATGTATGTATGTGTGCGCACACGTACATTCAAATTGGTAAATACAGTGGGATATGACATCATTTTTCGCATGTTCAAAGGGCTTAGATGGATGGATATATTGGCTTCACATTCTCAATTATTATTATGATATTAGCCGCAAAAAATGTCTTTTTAACCACAGCAGCGATCAATCTTTGTCTAGTTATCAAACTGCTTTGATGCCCCTATCTATCTTCCTTTCCGTCTTCTTTTTTCTTTTATTTAGTATGGTCTTTACAGGAAATTAAATAATTTCAATATTGACTCATCTAACAGCAGTTCAAATAATAATATTTGTCATGAGAAACCTTCTGCAAAACTCCACGAAACCACAGCAACGACAACAACCCACGAACCTGTTGCATCTAATGATATCCCAGAAAGTGCTGGTAGTTTTGATCCACAAGAAATATTACTCTATGCCAAACTAGAAAATCAAGATATGGCAATCGAAGATGATGATGATGATGATGATGAAGGTGATATCGTAGAAGGTGTTGAAGATATTGACGATGACAGTGGTCTTATCCAAGATAGTGTTGTATACAATAATCCTAAAATTAAAGAACTTGGTAAAGAATTTACCCTGAAAGATATACTAGCACATCGTGTCCCAGAATTAGAAGTTGATAATTGTAAAGATGAAGAAGATTCATAAAATTGCACACATAAATGGCGACGAATTCAAATGCCGTTTGACCTTGAAGTTGTGTTTGTTTGTTTGTTTGCATTACATTGTTACACTTTAAAAAAACATTCATTCATTATTGAACATTGATCAATTAATTATTCACTTTCTGTTTAAATGATAAGAAATATAAAAGAAACAGAAATCTGGAAAGAATAAGATCGGATATTTATTCTCTATCCCATTTGTTTTTTTGTTTGAATGCGATAAAATGTATCTCCATCTTAATTTGCCACCCTTTTTAAAAATAAGTTTTCCCTCCCTTTTTCCTTTCTCGTTTGTTGATTTGTTTAAACTGTTTTACCTCATTGAATTCAAGATTTTCATGAATGTTTTTTTGTAAAAAAAAGGTATACTTTGATCAGATTTCATGCTTTCTTTCTTTTGGGTGCCTAATATCAGTTAAAATTGTAGTTAGGGGAACTTAATTCATAGATATGCATATATATATATATATATATATATATGTAAACATACTCAATATTTTGTATACTACATTCACTTAGAATACGTCTCAATTCTTTTATTTATTTATTTTATTCTTCTCAATTGATGATTGTTTAAATATTCATGATAAGTGTAAATAATAAAAAACCATGTGTTATTTGTTATCTATCTTCTCTGTATGATTTTACATATCTAACTGAGCAATAATATTCATGGGTAAATTCCATTATGGGTAAAATTGTATTTTGATAAAGTCTCACACAGTGTTGTTTTATACAGTAAGTAATACTTACTGAAAACTACGTTTCGAGCACCATTTTTTTTTATTATCGTTCCCCGTGGGTTCGTAGTGAAACATAACGCTTCAACTGCACGTCTCCACTTGCCACTTCTGTCTTCCTTCTGCTGTACTATTCACCTGCACCCATGCTAGTCTATACTGTTTCAGCTCCTCCTCTTCACACGATTTCCTCTATGTTTAATAGTCATTAAGTTGCTCGTCTGCTTTAAATTTTTTATTTTTCCTTTCCTATATATAAAAAGTCAATGGGATTCTTTTACAAATTGTGAAAAGCTTAACTTTCGAAAAAATAGATTGAAATTTAATTGGTCATCATGGCAAAGACTGAAGTCTTTTGCTGGTATTGAATTATTACTACGGATATTTGATCTGATATGATGGTACATGAGAAAAGCAAAACAAGTGATTCAGCGAGGAGATTGGTAGGGAGTGGCCAAAATTGAAAATCAACATTTTAAGTCAATAGCTGCAGAGGTAGAAGTGTGTATTCCTCAAATCTGGAGTAAGTTAGACATCGGGGACACGGAATGACCTCATTGGATAACTTGACTAACCTTGAGGCAGTTACCAACCAGTCAGACCAATGTATTCTCCTTCGACCCAGCCGAACTTTAATATGGTTAGGAATGTATAAATATGTTTCCCCTTACTAGAAGTCCATTACTAAGTCTTATCGTCTTCTCTCTCTATATATATTTTTATCAATGATGTGAATTTTAACAAAAATAAGTGGTTGTATACTTTATAAAATAGCTTACGAAACATATCAAAGGGGTATGGAAATAATAAGATTAGTGGTCAGCTAAAACATTATATTATTCATGAATAATTCCCATTCGAACATTAGTAGACAGAAGACAAGTAGTTCAGCGAAGAGTCTCTTTTCGGCGAATTCATTTTCATAGCTGTACAATCGCAAATATATATGGTTATTTTGTGTGTGTGTGTGTGTTTACATTAAATTTGTCAAACGAAAATGCAATTAGTAAGTTCAGATGAATTGGATGTTGATAAGAGGATAGCAACAAAAGTGATGAGTTGTCAAAAACGACTGTTAAATAAGAGTTACGTAATGGCATGAATAGTTTGATGAATGAGTTGTGCTCAAAGGGTGTACATGGAAACAAAATAATACACAGAATTACACAAGGGTTTTAAGTTAGAAAAATACTTGTACCAAGAAAATACAGTGTGGAATCGAGCTGTAATCAAAAATAAAATAAAAGAATAATAATAATAATACCGCCAGGCCACAAAGACAGAAGAGAAGACTGCATGTTGGTAACATGAGCTAACATTGGTTTATTGAAGCGGTGGAAAACCTGAGACTACTGGACAGTCTGTTTAGGTTAATTTTTTATTTCCCCCAATGATTGATTTTATTGAGCAAAAATGTTCGGTGGTTACTGAAGATCAACACATAAGGTTATGTGAACGACTTTAATCCTCAGTGGAGTCCGGAATGCGCCATCCCCTCCTTTATAAGCTCATCACCCGGTAACATGATCACTCACTGACGATACAGGCATGTGCAGATGACGAGTCCTAAATAAATACGAAATGCACACATTATCACTAGTAAACACTGATAAGTTCTTTGTATTGATATCTTTAATGTAATCGACGAATTGGAAAGTGTCACGAAGTGAATTGTGGCACATTCGTCTTCGTACAGATTCTAAAATGTCAGTGAGCCATTTCGCTATTGAATGGTACGGGGAACCTGACATATCCAGAATTGGTCGAAGTGGGAGGTTGGCTTTATGTATCTTTGGTAAGCCATATAGTCTTGGTATTGTTGACCCTGTCGGTCGGATCTGATCATAGACTTCATGAGTGATTAACTTCTGGGTTTGCATTCTTTTCAGGACATCGGTGAGTTGCTTTTCAGTCTGTTCTGTTTTGTTTCTTTCGTTGGGTGGTTGCGAAAATTTTGTTTTATCTGACAAGATGCTGTTCATTTTCTCAATATAGTCTTTCTTGTCCATAAGGATTATACCAGCTCCTTTGTCTGGACGAGTTATAAGCAGTTCTTCATTTTGTTTTAGTTGATTTAATTCTTCTCTATGTTGCCTTGTCAGGTGGTTGTATACTTTTGGTTTTGTATTAAGATACTGATAACAGCTATCGATTATTGTTGATTTGAAACGCTGCAATTCTCGTTCGGAGGTTGGGGTTAAATCATTTGTTTGGGTCATTAGGTTTCCGAATTGTACCTGCGTATGGAGTCTGTTGGCGTTTAAGTTGACGTCGCAGAATTTCGGGCCCATGGATAGGGCTTCTAACTGTAGGTTGGATAAAGCTACTGAAGAGTAGTTGAATACGAATTTCGAAGGGTGTTCAGGAAATTGTTTGTGTGCTTTGATGGATTTTAGGTTTTTGGTGAGTCGGGAAATAATAGATTGTGCTCGTTTTTCAGTGACTGTATTGACATATTCCGTAAACCTCTGGGTTTCACTAGGTAGCAGATCGTGGAGGGCTGGAGACCTTTGTGAAATGTTGCGTTGTAGTTCTGGAATACGGGCTTTAATAGAGTCAATAAGATTCAATGCATGTCGTCGGAGGGATTTTGTGTTGGGATATATGTGGCTTCTTCTCAATGCTTTCCAAAACCACTTTGGATATTCGCGATTGGTGATACAATCATTGAAAAAAGTAATTTTCGCTTTCACTATCGGAAGTTTGACAGAGTACCGTAAAAACCCATTGAGTTCCTTGACTGTCGAGGGATCCTTGCTACTTTTTAATTCATGAATAATTCCCATTCGAACATTAGTAGACAGAAGACAAGTAGTTCAACGAAGAGTCTCTTTTCGGCGAATTATTATAAAACAGCATTACAAAATATTATATTGGATTAAATAAATAATGGTGGAAAGTGAAATAACGAAAATCATTCAAATCGAAATTAATAACAACTGTCAACTTCATCAAGGAAGAATATACTACAAATTGAATAAACAAAGAGAAAAATAAGTAGAGCCAAAGTAGCAATGGGGATTATGATAGTTTAGCATAGACTGATTAAGACCATGAGAGTTCGAGGGGTTGGACAAAACTTTTTTTGTATATAAAGGTTTGGCTTTTTCCGTTTCTACAGTCGAAGCTTCAGCAATACAAATGAGCAGGATATGTGATGATTTGGGTAGGTTCTTTTTCACTCTGTCAATAGGCTTAAAAGAAGAGACTGTAGAAATAAGAGGATTAGTGTCGATCAGATGTTCAATTATTGCTTTTGTTATAGCGTCACGTCCATCTTTTCGTAACCACGCAGGATTGTGTTCTTACAGCTTCTTGTATACAACATGAGTCGAATGACTGACGTAGAGTTAATCAACTGAGGACTATTGTCCTTCAGGACATTGAATGGTGATTGTCGATTCGTAAAGTGTATTCTCATCGCTTCTGTAGTGAATAAACTTTTCAAGGAATGTGAGATCTTTTTCGGGGTGTCGTCAGCTAAATCACTTTTGAATTCAGGGTTCATGTGGAGCATATTGTAGGTTACAGATATTAATTCACATTTCATACATTTCAACTGTCTACAAAACATGGTGAAAACCCATTTCTCATTAGGATTTTTCCAAGCAGATTTAACTCTCCTCCCTTCGCAGCATGAGGACTCTTATGTATATACGTATGCTGTTTTGATGTGTTTCTGACTGATATTCCGCTGCAGTTCGGCAGCGGAATACCAGAATGTCTTAACTTCTTGATATAGAAGGTGGTGAGACGGAATATTTTCTTAGAGATCATCAAGATATGAGACGACCAGGAAAGATCAGAAGATAGAATGACGCCAAGATATTTAATTTCCGACTTAGTTTCAATTTCAGTGCCATCAATGTTGCACACCTCGTGAGTGGTAACCAGTTTTTTTAGGTCAGATTTGTGCCTAAAGGTGAAACTAACTGTTTGGCATTTGGAGGGGTTTAAGGTTAGACCGTTTTCCTTGGACCACTTGCTGGCTGATTTCTGATAAAAAGCCGTTTAGTTTAGAGCAGTCACTTTGACATTTGACAG